CCGGCGAAACGTCTGGGAATGTACCACGTCCACGGTCCGACTCTGGAAATAATTATGCATACAATGGAATTAGTTTGTTCTTTTTTTCCATAAGGCTTTCTTAGCTAACGTGAACTGCAGTTTCGATCTTGACTAAACCAACCTTTCTCTTCCAATAACCCTTGATAACGAGTCTTTTGGGTTACGTTACTCTGCTTTATTAGCTGGTCACGCTTCGCGTATATCAACGAATTTCAGGGCGGAGCAAGATGCTTCCAATCTACACTTACTTTAAGGACTTTAGATAAGCAGGATTCGTATTCGCCATTAGTCTTGATAAGATTACTCGAAATCCGTATATTTACTTCTTAATCTAGATAAGTCTTCGCTTTAAAGAAAGCTCAAGCAATTCGTCTAGATAATTCATGGCATGCTAATTTACTTTGTATGATGAACCATGGGAACTTCATCTTGTGGTTCAATTTTCACCTGAATTTCTCCTTAAAAATTTCTTATTCTATACTATTTGATTGATTTCATTATTCTTCAAACTTTGTATATATGATATTTTTTAAATTACTTTACTAACCCCTTTGTCCTCGCTGCTTGACTGCTTCCTGATATTTGTATCTTTTCTTTAACTACTAATCATCCTTTATTTTCTCTAGGATCTATGCGCTGCTTGTGAATATCTGTCCGAAGCCGGCGCAGAAACTGAAAAGCCTATGGGTATTATCGGCTTTTGCTGGGGAGGCAAGCAGGTGGTTCATGCATGTACTGAGCAGACACGTACTAGCCTTGGACTACATTTTGGCGCTGGCGTCTCTATTCATGGCGCTGGGCTTGCTCCCGAGGATGCGGAACTAGTTTCAGCACCAATGATGTTTCTTCCAGCTGGAGATGATCCTGACATAGCTCCCTTAAAGACTGTCCTAGATGGTAAAGGTTTTGGACATGAGTGCATCTACCACACCTTTTCCGAGGAGACGCATGGCTTTGCAGCTGGTCGAGGTGATTGGTCGTGTGAAAGAACTCGGCTAAATGCGTACAGGGCAGCAAATATGGCAGCTGAATTTCTTAAAAAACATCTTGCCTAGGCAGCCCTATCATCCTTCATTTATTTTTAATTTTTTGACTCTTCGTTTGGCCTTTATTCTTAATTTTTTACTTTTCGCTCTTCTATCCTCCTTTTAATCAATGCTTCCAACTCATCGTTTTCACTAACTTCTGCCCCGATGCGTTCATTCTATTGGTTTATTCTACCTTTACCCTTATGACAGGCATTATGACCTTGAATATTGCTTAGGTGTTCACATTTAATCGCATACTATGTTGCAACATTAGTTTTATGAAAAACTGAATTTACTTTTGATTTTTTCCGTGGCTTTGCATAAATCTGGTCTCACTTCGCCGATATCGCTTCAATTCTATTGTTTTATATTTTTTTATTGTAATCTGTCACATTATCCTGCATGTAGTATTTAATTTTGTCTTTCATGAGATATATTTAAGAGAAATTATAGGAACCGAGCCTGACGAGATTTAATCATCACTTTTATTTCTCTTTATCTAAGTCTTGTACTTGGGATGTCATTGACGAAGTGTAGATAGGATATTACTGTTGCTGGAACTTTTAAAAGGCATGCGAATCATTTTATACTTTATAAGCATCCCCTGAGTATATACACATATATATCCTTTAAAAATTAATTCTTATTATTATTCCTATATATCAATATTGTTTTACATTTAATAGTGAATTCACTCTTTCTGGCTTCCTAAAATTGTTACAAAATTATATATATATAACAATTAATTGCTATATTGTTCTGTAAAAAAATCAGAAGAATCAAATGAGAGCCTAGATTGGATAGCAGAATATATTGAATGGTAAGATAAAAATAGGGCAGAAAAATCATAAATGAATTGTAGGGGATCTGAGCTTGTAAGTGTCGTTTTGCTTTCAATTTTGAACATAATAGATATCTAGGTGTTGCTTTAATGTTGAAGTGGCTAGATTCACTTTAACCAATATAGGTTCTTGCATTCAAAGCATTCGTGGATGGATAAACCAGACGTGGTAACACTAAATCGGAGAAATCTATCCTAAGGATTCGATCTAGTGTTTTGTTCTCACTATGCTACTGCTTAAGGATATTTAAATGTGATTAACTAGGAGGATCAGAATATGTTGTCATACCTTGTTTTGAGCAGCTAGACATCTCTCGAGTCCAAATGAACTAACGAAGCGGACGTAAGAGTCCCGTCAGTGATGGTCATTTGAGTTTTTATAGAATATTTTGGGCCTAATGAGGATATATTTTCCCATATTTTGGATGGGGTCTGCTCTCTTTCATCACGTAAATCACTGCCTTTTTCTCATGGATTATTCCTCTTGTATAAAGATCAGATTTGTAATTTTAAGTATTTTTTAAATTTCGACCAGAGCTTAGTCGATTGGTCCAGATTAGTAGGTATCAAAATTTAGCGAGCTTTACATGTGTTGTTATTATGCAAAGTTTAGAACTCCCATTAATGCATTCGACAGGATTGCATGAAGACTGGATGACTGGGACTTGCGTTTAGTACGTAAAATGGCTTGATCTAATTTTTGCAACTTGGCCGTGCTGCCAAGGCAACTAAGATGAGCAAGCCTTGTCATGAGCTCTTCGTCATAGTCTTCATGATTTTCACCATCGGACCCCTGACATTGTACACGCCATTCTTGTAACCAAGTTATACCTCGTCAAGGAGATAAATGAAGTCCAACCCTTAACCAACTTCCGGCTGGACCGCCCTTAGCCCGAAGCAATTCTAACTCAGCCTGTTTAACCTCATTATTGGCCTTACAACCTCAAGACTTCCTCTTTATTTTGACGACAAGTATCTCGCGGATTCTAAGGCGACCAGTTGTTGAGATTTAAAGTCCTGCTAAACTCTCTCCCCATTTTCCAATTAGTGAGCAAGGCGACCTATTAAAGCAAGGTTTTACCTCTACTTTATTTTGCGTCTAGTGAAATTCTGGATCCGGATATTATATTTACCAAATGAATATGACTATTAGTCATCAGTATATTTTGAACATTAACCCGAGGCCTCTTATCTCACTTGAGAGGATGGAGGAATTGATAATTTCATAGCATACTTAATCGGCATACAGTAGTTTCGCCGATTTCAAAGTCCTCTTATCAATAGCAGTCCCAATATAAATGTGAGCAATGAGAGGCCTGGATAGCATTGAAGATCAGATCCGCCCTGCGACTCAGCGACACCCGTGGCTGTGATGGAGTAAGAATGCTGTCGCTTGATGCACACGACCCAGGTTTTAGTCTTATTGAGAGTCGAAGCCATGGTTGAGCTCGAATAGGGTCTTTTGAGAGGCACCTTTATGTGGGATTGAATACATTGTTTAGGCCTTTCAGTTTACTTTACTATTGTGAATTCAACTATCAGTCCCTACATCTCTTTAAGTGATTGATGCTGTCCGGGGTCTGTGCTACCTCCTCTGCTGAGTTCGATCTTTTTGACAACTTTTAGTTTTACTATCTGAAAGGTGGCATACACTAAGTCAAAAAAGGCGCAACGAAACTATAAATGAATTTGGTAGCTAAATTTAGTCTACCCATGTCAGATAATCTTCCTACCAAAATTGAATCCTCGAGAAAAATTGCCTCCATCTTTGAGTTCATCCAGAGGAGGATAAGTGCCGGCACAAGGTTTTTATTTGAGGACAAATTTTATCTCTTGTGTGTCCTTTTGTGATTTTTGGGAGAGGGGACCTGATTCACTGAAAAGTTAACAGAGGAATTGGAATAAACCTATTAAACATGGGGATATCAAAGTAGTCAAAAATGAAGAGTAGCTCTATAAGAATAGTCACCACATTTTGCTAATATAGCCTAACACAAATTAAACGAGGTTGCTCATCTAGGGAAGTTTCTTAAATGCTTACAGTCTTATTGAGGCAGAAATTTATTTTGCACTAATATGCATTTACGCGCTTTAGACCCAGTATAAATGAAACAAGAATACGCCGGCTCAGATGACAACTTTCGGTCTATTCCGCCCAGCACTAAACCTCTTCTGTCCACCGTGGAAGTACTTGCTAGGGCTATCGGCTGAAAGAAATAAAACAGAAGTGACAAGGGCATAAATACAAACGAAGCCTAAGTTGTTTAAGATGTTGTAAAGACAATTATTTAAAAGTCCCATTTTAAATGTGATTTGAAAATGGCCTCGCTTGTCTTGAAATTCGCATTTGTCCCGTAAGCCACTGGTATCCTAGGCCCCGATGCGTTAGCCAAACTAGCAGTCCGCCCTGGGCGAGTAAGGATATGGGGGACAAGGCTTTGCGAAATTAAATAGTACAGTATGGTCTACTCATTTAATTTTGGGAACTTTTAACTTTATTTTTCGCATTAAGTATTGTTTCGAGACTACCAGTAAATCAGTAATATGATATGTATTCACCCAATTTCGTTTAAGGTGATGAAGGACTGGTAGCAGAATTTCCCCACTGATATGAGTTGAGCTGACGTGTCCATTAAATTTCAGATAGCCTTGTTTTCCCAAAAGTTGTTCTCATCCAGGGTGGACTGCAGTTTCAACCTCGCATCGGTCTTGCCAGTCCTTCATCACCTTAAACGAAATTGAGTGAATACATATCATATTACTGATTTACTGGTAGTCTCAAAACAATACTTAATATGAAAAATAAAGTATAGTAGTCGATTATTATAGCAAATATACGTTTGCTTCAACGACAATCCCACCAAATAATATGATATGGCAGAAAGGCCTGGCCTTCCTTGAAAATTCACTTTTGCCCTGTGACCCAAAAGGCGTTCGTGGCAGTGTAGCCGAGTGGTTAGCGTTTCAGGCTCCCATCCTGCACTCTTGCGGTTCGACTCCCGCTGAGGGTGTTGATACGACCGATGCGAGGTCGAAACTGTAGTTCACTTCGGCCTGGATGAGAAAAAATTTTGGGAAAGCAAGGCTATGTGAAATTCAATGAAAACGTCAGCTCAACACATATCATTGTGGGAAACTTCTTCTTCTACTATGCATCACTTTACCTCAGGTGACCGTTAGTTTATTATCCTAGTCAAGATATACCGATATTCACAATGAATAAATGTAGGAAGATCTTCGTTTATCCTGTAAGCAGACAAAAAACAACGTCCTTATATTTTCAAGAATTTTTTCGAAACCCATTTCTTTGAATGCTCTAAGGGTGGTTGAGTAACTCAATTCCAAGTGACCATCTCCTTACCGTGCATAAGGATAACTTAGAAAGGAGATATGGATGGATATTAAGGGTAAAATCTTGTGTCATCTAGGCCATCTATTCGAATGGAGTATATCTCGATTTACCTGATTACTGGTTGATTGGAGTATTACTGAGACCTTGGTGAGGTTGGAGCCATAGACCAGTTTAGATTATGCATTATTTTTAGGATAGAAGTTACGGTGAAACCAATTGGTAGTAGCAACTATAGGATTCAAGCCATTGTGGATGCATTAACCATTCAATATTTACGGCACCAAGCGACCATGATGGGCCTCCTTGTGTAAGTCAGAATCATTAGTGATTCTGATTAAATCGGAACTATCATAATTGGTTTTTGTTTGAATGAATTAATTGTAGCTGCATTCACTACAATCGAGCAACTTCCTGTTATTTTTGGAAGTCTTTTTTATTTCATCTACGCGATAGACGAAAATATTTCTACATTTATTCGTTCTCTTCTTACGGTGTTAAGCAAATATTGGGTTAGGTTTAATAAGCCGGTGATATTCTGAAACTGATGTCTAGAAAATTGCCAGTTGTCAAACAACAAATTCGTCTTTTATGCAAATAGTGCTTTTATTATTTGGTTAAATAGATTGACTTTATGAACACAATGTACACAACATTTTACAGTACATTTTTCCAGAGAGGAAATTAACATTTTTGCCACTGTATCTATATATACACGACTGTAATTCTGCTTGGTGCACTGATAATGCAAAAGGGTAATTTCTAGACCGCCGTCCAGCTCTTTGGAATTCATAACACACTGAATTTCAACGTAAAGTCATCGTAATATTTACTGTC